AGCTGACTGCTGAGTCTCCGGGGACCAAGGAGCAAAAGTCAGTGAGCAATGGGTTGCGCCGCACCCTCCAGGCCCAGCCCCCCGCAGCTCACTTCTCTCAGCTAGGCCCCATGCCCCAGATGTTTTACAGACTCCTAAAACAGGACCATGTTCAAACCTGAGGACCTGTGTGTGGGTGTATTTCACACCCTCACTCCTTACAGGGCAACCAAGGCCTTCACGAGCATGATGCTGCTGCGCACCGTTCCCTCCTGCCTTTCCCCATCTAGCCACAGCTGCTGGCTCCTTCACAGTCCTACCCCCCTGCCAGCCCCCGCCAGCCCCCGCGGTCCTTCTGGTTCCTGTCACCTTCTCCAGGGACCCTGTGGGCTGATGGGGAAGCTCTTTCGGCCACAGTTCCATGGCATGTTATCCTCACTCCTTTCACTGAACCTAACGTGTGGTAGTGAGGTTCACCTTCCTCACGAGACTCCTAAGGTGGGGAAGCCATGCCAGGTTCAGCCCAATCTGCCCGGAAGTGGGGCTCACTAAATAAACACCCCACTGACGTCTCCTAAGGCAGCCTGCATGTAGCTGGTAAGCAGCCAGGGAGGAATCACAGAAGATGCTGTTCTTGTTCGGCCACTAACACACACTTGAGAGGGGACAGGACCAGTCGTTAAGGGTCTGAAGCCTCCCAACTAGGAGTTGGAAGTCTGTGAACAAGCTTTCCCGTTCTTGTCTTTGCTTCTACGGCACAGTGTTTCCCCGGCACATGTTCTTCACGAGGCCCTGCCTCTACTTGTAAGGCCTCCCTACAAAGACGGGCACACTTGCACCTCAGAGGTGGGCAGGACGCTGTCCTGTGAGGCCCAGCAGTGTCCCCAGGCACACAGTGCTGTCTGGAAGATCTGGATTTCAGCCACCTATCCACTGTGGCCTCTAAGCAGTTCCCGGGGTGACCATGACAAGCGTTTGCTCACAAGGTCCCCCCACCCCCGAGAGCACAGCAAGGGTCATGTCTTAAAGCTGGCTCTTGGCTTTTAAGAGATCTGGGAACACAGACTAGCCAGCACCTTACCTTCATGTTGGAAACAAGGGCATTAGTTTCTTGTTAAGTTCTACTTGAACGAGGCAGCCACATTTTTCTTTTGTGTGTATAGTGCGCGCACATCCGCGTGCAGGCACCCTCTTCTGTTCGGAGGCCAGGTCGGCTGCGGGTCCATCACTCTCCAGCTTCGGAGTGAGACAGGGTCTCCCACTGAACTTGGAGCCTGCCATTTGGCTTGGCTGGCCGACACATGAGCTCCGGGGGCCGCTTGTCTTTGGTGCCTGGCACCAATGACTGCTGTGTGCCGTGTTTCACAGGGAGGCCGAGCACCTGACCTCAGGTCTCAGGCGTGTACAGCAGGCGATTTTCCTAGTGAGCATCTCCCAGGCCTACCTGCTACCTTCTGAGCGTTAGACAATCCTTCAGGTTAACACTGCACTTAGCAAAATGTCATTAAAAAAATCACTGATACATAGACCTACTTTCTTTGACATCTTTCAGAGGAAGCAAAATCATATCTTAAAGTATTAAGTATATGAGAAAAAAAGCAACAATTATCCTATCCCAATCTTGAAAATTTATTATTTGGGAGAATATCAGATATTGATCTTTAGCTTTATAGCTCATGATAATAATCAGAAAATATACATTTTGAAATGAAGTCAAAAGAAAATAATTACATATAGCACACGTTACAGATTTCTTATTTATACATCCGCAAAGTAGTACTGAAAGCATACTCATGGCCCACAATCAGCAAGTGTGGACATTTTCTGTCTAAAGCTGCAGCAGCTCAAATCCCTCTGGTCACTGAAGAGACACTGAGAAATACATTGAAGGGCTCTTACCATGTCTGGCTGTAACCCTGTGTTCATTCTTCCCCTCTCCCCGTATATGTACACATAGTTATTGCCTTTAGAGTCCTGCTGGTTTAACAGCACACTAAACAGCCACCTGCAGCCATTTGGTTTCTAAAAATATTTAAAATGCACAGGAAGGTGCTCCTTCCCGCAGCTCTGCCCCGGCCACTGTCCTGGCATCGAAGCGCAGGGGAAATGTGGAGCAGCAATACTGAATAAATACTGATGGCTGCGACCTGACACGTGGCAGCTTCTCCGGGAACTTAAAGCCACAGCAGACAGCACGGACATGCAACTTAAAAACACTGACGATACAAAAGGAATACTTAGGAGCTGGCTTCATCACAGCGGCCGCTGACCAGGACAGGCTTGCGCTGGAGAAGGACACACAGCATCATTTACCATAAATTAAGGCCTGGCCGGTCAACGGTGATACCCAGCACTGCCTGCGTCTGCCTGCGCATGCCTGACATCAGGTGTCTGTCCTTCGCGCGTCATTTCCTCATCCTGTGAAAGTCCTGACTCGGTGTCTCTTGCGGGCAGAGCGGTGCTGCTATAGGACTGCGCTGCAGCTCAGCTGCGGGAGCAGTGCTGACGTGTCAGGCCAGGAAAGTCGCCTGGCTGTGTCTTCACCGTGCAGGCAGCCCTTGTTCCCGACTGATTCCAACTCCAGCGTGCTGGGCTGCCCACTCAGAGCTGCGCATTCAGACGGCAACTTCTCTCAACACCACCCGGAGCCTCACATATCAGAACTCCCGTGTTCACTGAGACCAAAAAGGAACGTTAACAACCAAAATATAAAGGAAACGAGAAAATAAAACACACACGGAAAACTGAGGTAACCCACTGTGGGTGATTCTCTGAGAACGACGATGCTCTAGAGGCCAAACAGACCAATGATATTCAAATTATCCATTGGTAAGAAAAGAAACTTGCAATATATTTTACCTGTAGAAAAACCACATACCATAACCTGAAGTACTAATTTAGAAGACACAGAAGTTTATAATCTTATTTATTATTTAGAAACTGAATATTTTCCCATGTGCAAAATTTTACATTTTTGAATACCATTGCCTGGACCCCTGAAATGTGGGCAGACCCAGAGCTCTTAAGCCAATTCATTTGTAGTCTCAATAGGTAAAAACAGTGACAGCAGATTAAAATATTTTCAGATGCTCCCATAGAAATTAGCTGTCTTCCCTAGCTAGAAAGGGTCTAGAAAACGCTGGGCAGCAGTGTGCGTGCCAGGGTCCTGTGACTGGTGACACGGCGTAGTTTGTGAGCTCACGTAGCCACGCCCCTCCTGCCTGCCACAGTCTGTGTGGGAGGAGGCCTGGAGAGGAGCTGGCAGCTGCAGGGTTCTGAGGTTGGCATATCCTAACTGTGCCACTGCTGGGGAGCCGAGGCCGCCGGGAGCTGGTGGCACGGGCCTCCTTTCCAGTTCCCAGGTAAGTCTGGCAGTCACACCCGAGCTTGCTCGCTCGCACGCTGTGCTTTGCCTGCTGTGCCAAACAATCTGTGCAGCCCCCCCCCCCTTTCTATTTTTGAGACAGGGCCTCACACTAGATCTAGACTTCCTGTGTGGCTGAGGAGGGCCTGGGTCTTGTGGCAACTGTCCCGCCTCAGCCTCCTGAGTGCTGGAACTACGGCGTGAGCCACTGTCCCAGCTTCACCTTTCATTTCTCACAGCGCTTACCTCACCCGAAGGTAGCATTTTGGTTTAAATGGAAGACAATCCATTTGCGCAGTGCTTTTCTTTGTAATCAAGGTTTCAATTTAGCTGAACCATAGAATGACTCAGTACGGGAGTCTTTAAGAGTAAGGCATGTATTGGGCATATGGAATCATTGTCACAAAGGCTACAAATTACTTTGACTTTGAATTATTACTTTTAGATATACAGATATGAAACAATCATTACAAATCTGTGGCAAATGTCTACGGGGTGGGTTATCTCAGAAACAACAGTTTACTTCTCCAGTCCTCTGCAGAGCAGTGGGGGCAACATGAGCTGGGTTAGCGAGGGCCCGAGGAGCATTTTGGCTGAGGTCAGAAGGCAACGCTGCCGGCTGGTTCTCACCAACGTCTGTTTCACAACCATTCTTAACTTCACTGGAGGCCTGTAGAGGCGCAGTCTCTGCTTCTTCAAACAGTCATTAAAGTCAAAGTCAGCTGGGTGCACTGGGACACGGGCCGCTTCGGCGTTACCGGCGTGGCTGTGCTACATCGCTGTTTTATTGCACGCGCACAGCCCGGAGGACGCGCTCTCTTCAGGACCATGAACTGCCTGAAGCTGCGGACTGAGTCTCAGTTACACCGTGCCAGATTTGCTCAGAATGTGAAGTCTGCGCCGGCATCTACAGCTCCTGTCCACGCTCTGCAGGTGAGCACAGTCAAGTCGCTGCTCATGAGAGAAGCTCTGACTCAGTTTTGGCTTTACACACAAATGATATAAATATAAACGGAGACTAATGTCCTATAGAGTCAAACTTAAAAAAATACTCTCAATTTAACTTTATTTCCTTGGTAAAAATACCTGACTGCTCTCTGCTTGTCTCTATGGCCAGAGAAAATGCACAGTCCACGCTTGAGATCCACGGGCAGCGGTCACCCTGCCGGCATGGCCGTGCATGCTCGGGGAACGCATCACCTGGTGTGCGATTCCCAAAGCACACCCCCTCGGCCCCCGGTCCTTCTCCCACCCCATCAGTCACGAGGACGGTGGGAGGAGCTCTCGGAGAGCCCAGGAAGCCCACGGCAGCCAGTGACACCGCTGACAGTCACAAGCAAGCACTGTCCGAGAACGGTTCACCTCCTGAAAGCTGTTTCTGTGATGCCGTGCGGAAACACTGTGAAGGAACGGCTAACACTCGGACCAGAAAGCGGAATTATCTCACGTAAGCAAGGGGGACCAGGCTCCCGTGTGCGCAGGCCCCACGAGGCCTGCATGTGACAAAACTCAGATGGAGTGTGCCCACATGCACACATCAGAATCCCACGAAATTTAACATGATCAAATCACAGGCTGTGTTAATAAAACAGAAATAGCGACATTCATACGGTAATCGGTACACGGAATAAATTAAACTAAGCAGTCACATAACGCCTTCACTCTTAACTCAGGGTTTATTCGTGTACAAACAGAGATTAACACTTTAACGCTCTCAAATGCTACAGATAAAAACAAAGGCTTTGCATTCCAGCTGCTGGACGCGTGTCAGTACTGCAATATTGCGAGTGTGAAGAGGCTCTGTGTCGGCATCAGTGCACAGGGCGTGGCTCCGAGTGGCTTGTGACTGGCAGGGAGGATGCGGCTTTGAACAGACACGCTGTTGGATTGGCACAAACTCAAGGAGTTCACTGTCCGTGGTACCTTGCTGGTCCTGCCCCAAGACAGCGTTAGTTAAACGTAGATGCCCTCAGGGTTGAAGCCGGAGGCCACGGGGCTCTGCAGAATTCGGAGGTTGCTGGGCAGCTGCCGGGAGGAGCCAGGCCGCTTCAGGGACCCAGACTGAAACGGCGCCTCTAGACAGGAAACAGAGCCATGTGGTCATCTTCCTGCCCCGAGAACTGGGGAGCAGACCGCACTGCTAAGAGCGGCTGGGGTCGGGAGGAAAAGGCAGGTGTGTGACTGACTGCCAGTGTGCCTGGCTGCTTCTCCCAGCTGCTGAGGCTGCAGCGCACAGTGGGAGGTTTCAACGAGGAGCAGAGGAGAACTAAGACTCAGGAGGGGACCCCGGGGAGCTGGGATGTAAGCGAACAGGGCCTCATCTTTATGTGTGAACCTGGGAAACAGGTGGAGCCAGGACGGCCTTTATGACCGCCCGATGCTTTGACCGCGCACTGCCCGATGCTCCTGCTCTCCTCGGAAACAGGGGGGCCGGGCTAGTTGACGCACCCGGGACAATGCGGTAGGCCTTACCTGTCTCGATGTCTGCCTGTGAGGCCTCGATCTCCGTGGGCTCGGCCGGCAGCACCGTGACCTTTGTCCCTGTCTGTTGGATGAACTGCTGGAGGTTGACTTGCCGCAGCTCTTTGGTCAGCTGCTCCAACTCCTGTTCCTTGTCCTGGTTGGAAACAGCAGCGACTGCATGTAACGGGGGCCTGCCTTCAGAAGAGCCTGTGACACTCCTGGTTTCCCTGGATACAGCTGCCAAAGAGGGGGCCACCCCATTCTCCCAGGTGCGAGGCTCCCTTTTGGACACCGCCACACGTGTACAAAATAAATGTACGGTGGTTTTGTTGGTGGTGGTGTTTGTTGAGGCAGGGTTTCTCTGGGTAGCCCTGGCTGTCCTGGACTGGCTTTGTAGACCAGGCTGGCCTCGACCTCACAGAGATCCCCTGCCTCTGCCTCCCAGAGGGCTGGGATGACAGGGTGTGCCACCACTGCCCACCTAACTATGTGCTCTGTCATAAAAATCCTTGTTTCTCTATGCCCTGGTGCTTCACCAATCTTGCTTACTGGGCCACAAATTCCCCTCTTAGACATTTTATAACTGACTACAAATGAACAGCAATTTGGTTCACAGGAGTTCGAGTTCTTAGTTTTGACAAGATGGTAGAGTTTTATCTACTAACATTTCCTTTCTAACCTGAGGAAAGCAAGGCTCTCTTGGACTTGGTGGTCTAGGTTCTGAGCCCTGGGACAGACTGGCCTGAGTCACAGGCTGCCTCCGGCTCCTTTAACGAGCTCACCCTTCCCCAGACGGTGCCCTTACCTGCAGCCGCTTGGCAGCCTGCCCCAGAGAGCGCTCTACGGCTCTGATGCCGTTCTCCAGCCGCAGGCTCTGCTGCCCTTGGAGGTCCACTTCCCCCTTGACCTTTTCAATCTTGCCTTTCACCTCCTCCTCGTTGACTTGGGCCTCCTGAACTTCGCGCTGCAGTTTCTCCGCCTCAAGACCGCTTTCCATGGCGTGGATCTGCGCCAGGTAGTCCCTCAGCTTGCGCTCACAGTCCGTGACCTTCTGTCGGATCTCCTCCAGCTGGTCCTGCAGCTGTTTCTCGTTCTCCTGCTCGATCTGCAGCTCGTTTTCCCAGAACTCCTCCTCCTCGATCTCCACGTCGTTTCTTTTGATCCTTTGCTCTAGGCGCATGATCTCCTCCTCCAGGCTGGAACTGAACTTGTGCTCCCAGAATCGGATTTCCGCCTCGCTGGACTCCAGCTGCTTCTCAATGGCCTGCAGCTTCCCCGTCTGCAGCCGAATCAGCCGCCTCAGCTCCTCCGAGCTTGTCCTGCAGCTACTCAGCACCTTCTGCCTAAACTCCGCCTCTTTCCCTTTCCCAAAGATGTCCATCAGCCCCTTGGCGCCGCCCGTGAAGGTGAGGGACTTCCTCTTCGGCTCCCTCCTCTTGATGGACTTGTCCACCTGGGGCCTCAGCTTGGCTAAGGGAGGCAGGCTTTGCCGGTACAGCGTTCTCTCGGGGATCCGGGCCACACTGTCCGAGGTGGGCCTCTCACTGAGGGACGGCCCAGTCCGACGCAAGATGAGCTGCACGTCGCTGGCATACTGGCCCCACTTGTTCAAGGAGATGATGGGGTTTTCGTGTGGCGCCAAGTGCCTCTCGGTGTCGCGCCACTTCTCTATCAGGGTGTACCTTCCGGTCCGACCTAGACGGGAGAGACCGGAGCACAGTCACAGGGCAGCGGGGGACGACGGTAATGCAACAGAAGACACGTCGGACACCTGTCAGCAGCACAATGTCCGGCCGGCCTCAGGCAGCTCCAGAAGATACCAAATTCCCAAAGCTGTGACAGCACACGGCTTGGGTCGGAACTGTAAGCACCCTCTGGCCTGCTCAGAGATTCCCTTTCTGACTTCCCTGGACTGAGAGACTGGACACCGTGGTCACAAGTGTAAGTGTTCAGAACTTCCGGAGAAAGACTGAACAAAGGAAAAATTGCCAGTGGTTCGCCCACAGCAAAGAGGGGTGGGCAGGAGCTACGCAGAGATTCTGAACTCTGCACAGATTTTCACTGCCTAAGCTTCTTCAAGTGAGAGCCAGCTAGCTGAGAGCCTGCCCCAGCCTGCAGGGCCCAGGCCTCAGCGCTCTGAGGGCCCGGCTGGCCAAAGTTCACACTGCGGGAGCTTCCCCGAGGAGATGGTTCTTTGAAACACTCTCTAGGAAAAGGGTCTGAACCATGTTGGCAGTTACAGTTTCAAAAGTTCTTCTTAAGAAGAGGACAATAAAGACAAAAAGCAACAAATAATTTAAATAAAAATAGGCTGCACCTAATGACTGCAGAATGGAAATAAACTTTCCAAAGACAATATAGGACCAGTAGGAAGGCTCAGGGGAGAAGATGCTTGCCATCGAGCCTGCTGATCCCTGGGACCCACATGGCAGAAGCAAAAAATGGAGTTCTGTAAAATCGTTTCTAGCTTTGGTATATTTATTGCAGCCCCCCACATAAAGAAATAAGTAATACATAAATGTAATGCAAAAAGAAAAAAGACAATATAATATTGTAGGTATGAAGTCATTTCACAGACATTTTCATTTAAGGTAGGTGCTGTTCTGAGTTTGTTAAACACGGATGTCAGGGGCGGAGCAGAGATGTCTCAAAGACCTGTCTCAAAAGCATGAACACCTAAGCTTGGAGCGCACACGCACACACGCACAAGTCAGGGAATCAGGACTCTCCATGATCCCCGTGGGATTTGGGGCAGTGAGAGACTGCCTCAAGTAAAAAGGCGGAAAGCACGTGAGAAATGACATCTGAGGCTGTCCTCTGAGCTTCACATGTACAGGTAACGCATGCGCCCGTGCTTGGATCATGATTCAAAGACAGCACACACTGCTAGTCACTGTTCTATAGAGAAAATGCCCAACCCTGCCATCCAGCAACCAGCGTGGCAGCTGAAGCAGCACCACGGGATTCTGAGCAAACAGTCGTACTTTCTCCATCACTGGGTCATGGCAGGGGCACCTGGATGTGTGGGTACACACACCCCAGCACCTCGGGGGCAGAACGTGAAGCGTGCCTGCCACGAAGCAGGAATGACAAGCAGGCTGGGGATGGAGGGCAGTTGTCGGCAGAGAGCTGGTTAGCGTTCCCCAGCCTGCTTCACAGGGGCTTTTCACCTGGAGGTCTGGAGACACAAGCGTGTCTGTATGTTTAATGCACATGCGCTCAGTATTATATAAAGTATATATGTACTTTTTTATATAAAAAAAGGCTTAAAATAAATTAGAAAGTTGAAACAAAACAGGAGGAGAGACAGACCCGGGAAATGTGGCTGGAAACATGGACTTGGCAACTTCATCTTCACTGTATTAAAACAATTTTTAAAGCATTCATTTCTGTTTAATAAAGAACCACAGTATTTAATTTGTTCTTCAATTTTAAATGTATTCAGAAATTGACAGTAAGAGCTTAACTTATGAGGAATTCTGGGAACTAGGATTCTGTTCTGGCTTAAGCAAACATCTAGAATTAAAAAAAAAAAATCACCATTCAAGATCATCAGGAACAGACAGCATGGACTCTAGACTCAAGATCAATGGCACAGGGCAGGTGCTGAGATCAAGCACTGGCACAGCTCCGCATCCCACAGCAACGAGACAAAGAAATGCACCAGAGAGCCATGGTGCCAGGCTCACTAGAAAGGAATGTGAGTGTGAGCCCACATGGTTAAAGGAGATTAGCAGAGCACAGATCTGCGGTGTCTGTGATGGCATTTCTAAAGATGGCAATTAGGGCCCTGACCAGATTCAACCTTTGATGGATTTATAATGTGACTATGACTGGGAAGTGGTAACATCCAGGAAGGTGGCACCTAGTTGGAGGAAATAGGTCTCTGGGGTGATGTCCTTTGTGACAAGCTCTCACCCTTGTCTCTTCCTGTATCCCCTTTTCAGTTGGTCACTGTGGTGGTTTGAATAAGAACCAAGGGCCCCATAGTGTCATATATTTGAATGCTTAGTGACCAGGGAGGGGCACTATTTGAGAAGGATTAGGATTAGCTCCAGTCCTTACTGGAGAAGGTGTGGCCTTATTGGAGGAAGTGTTCCAGTGGGGGTGGGCTCTGAGGTCTCCCAAACCTGCGGCAGGCCCAGTTTCTCTCTGCAGAACTCTCAGTGACCTCTCCAGCACATGTGGCTGTGCCGACATGCTCCCTGCCACAAAGCCGGTGGACTAAGCTGACACTGAGAGCCAGCCCCCAAATAATGTTTACAATGGTCTCGCTTGTAAAAGTCGCCCTGCTCAAGGTGTCTCAACACCACAACAGAACAGGGACCAAGACAGCCACCAAGAGTGAGCTCGGTCCCTTCCCCACTGTGATGGACTGATCCCCTTGAAAATATGCAACAAATCTGTAACCCTCACATGAAGTTGTTATGTCAGGTATTTGGTAACAACTAGGTAAAAGAAAGTAACACAGAAAGCTGGTACCAATGGGGGGACCTGGAGGGACGGTCAATGCTACTATTACATTTCACCAGGTGGCTCTTAAGGCCTTTGGAAGTAGTTTGTTGGATACACTTGGAAGTTTGGAGAAACAGGCCATTAAAAAAAAATCTTAAAGTTCTGTAAATAAGAATTAGTGGGTGATTTTGGTAGGATCGAAGTAGAGCAGAATTCCAGTGGGAGTGTGGACAGGGAAGTTTCAGGTAGGAAAAAGACTCGGTTGGGAAGTGGATTAGAAGTCATTTGTGTTATGTTGGAGCAAATAATCTGTCTACATTTCGTCCATAATTTGAGATGCCATGGGGGCTGAGCTTGAAGAGTATGGAATGATGCACCTGGCGGAGAGCATCGGTGTTGGTAGCTGCCTGAGCCAGGCTTAAGTAAGCAATGGAAGGAGCCGGCAGAGCAAGTGCCCGAAGCAGCGCAGTGGCTAGAAGGCGCAGACAAGGGCGTGGCTGCTGCAGTGTGGACGGCCTGCATAGTCATGGTGCTGTGTCAACAGGAGGCGCCCTGACAGACTCAGAAACCAGTAAAACCACACCCCTCATGGACCGAAGAGAGTGAAACAGCAGTGTTACTTGACAGGGTTTTCTCTTGGAGGGAGAGTACCTTGGTGCCTTGTGGAAACAGGAAGTACTTTTTTCAGGGTAAGTTTGCATTCAGAGGCCCCAGAATCTACCGTCATCCGTGTGGTGCTGGTTTTACAGGCAAGCAGAAGCTGAATTATGGTATGATGGAAATGTCCATCCCTCTGCCCTCCTCCCCTCTCTTGCCCCCTTCTCCCCTATTCCTCTCCACCCCAGGCACTCCTGCTGCCTTGATGTTTTCCGCTCAGACATCTTAGGCCAAGAAACCATAGGCTGAATCCTCTGAAACATGAGCAAAAATATGGTCCCCAAGTTATCTTTCAGGTCCTTTCTAGACGCTGAGAGAGCTAACGCATGAGCACACAGCACCACACCCCAGAGAAGCATGGAGTGGCAATTTTTACTTACCTATAGCTTGGGCTAAGGCTATTACAACCTCCTGGCAAGTCGTGACTTCGGTGACGCCGCAGACGATCCTCTGGACTCCGTCCACCCATACCTTAAGTTCCATGGTGCACTGGCCAGCCGCCCAGAGACCCTGACAGTGGTCATCAGGGCTTCAGGTCATGGCTCTGGCTTCAGAAACACGGCTGAAAAAGGCAAAGAGTTGTCTTTTGAATAAAGTAAACTTTCCCCTATATTCTGTGAACTACAATGTGACACCAAATACTCACTATGGTTAGTCAATGCCAATTAACAGAGCTCAGCAGGCAACTGGGCCTGCTTCACTCCATGATCGGCATTTCTTTACTCTCATGAGCATTTTTTGTTTTGTTTTGTTTTGTTTTGTTTTTGTTTTGTTTTACAAGACAGTGTATTCTTGGCTGTCCTGGACTCACTTTGTAGACGAGGCTGGTCTCAAACTCACAGAGATCTGCCTGCCTCTGCCTTCCAAGGGATTAGAATCTATCATAATAACTTTTAGGTATGTCTCAGGTTTAAAGATTCTTACTTATTCAACACACACTCATACATACACACACACACACACACACACACACACACACACACACACACACACTCATGTTCTGTCTCTCTCTTCTGTTTATTTTTTTTTCATTAAGATAGTGCCAGAGAACTTTTTAAAGTTCCCATCATTTCAGAAACCATAAACAACTGAGCCATTTTTAAACATATTGGCTGTGTGATCTTACTGACCAGTGTCCATCCTTGTGCCACACCCCCTGGCCTCCCAGGTCTCTGAGCTGCTCACACCAGGGCTATGAGAACCAGCTGAAGGAAACTGTGTCCGTCTGTCCTTTTCTCATTGCCGGTTTGCTGAACTGGCTGTCAAGAATCACCCCCGACACACCCGACACACCGCTGGCAGTGTCCACTGCTTAGCCACTCCCTTAATCAGCCCACATTAGTGCCTCCCACAAGTCTCTCCTTAGTCAAGCAAGCCAAATGCTGCGCTTCTCCACGGGGAGCGGGGGCCAGCAGCTTGCTCAAAGGCAAAGGCAGAGGCTGGCCCCTCCTTTGTCCTTTGTCGGGGGAGGAGGTCTCTTAGGTCTCTGCCCATGGTGTGGACACACGGCAGGCCTGCACTGTAAGCAGGGTCCCTGCTAGTCGCTGTGCACGTTTGTGTACATTCACTTAATGATTAAAAGCTCAGAGTGAAACAGCTCTTACACAGATAGAAAAATATGTGGTGGTGTACCAAAGATGTCTGAGCTGAGGCAGACCATCCCAGCAGAGATGGAACTGGGAGCCGCACCTCGTCTGCTTTCAAGTCCCACAGGGCAGTGAGCACGAATCTTTGGGTGGCTTCCGGCCATGCTGTTGTGCCCTCTGTGTCAGCTCCCAGCTGAACAGGCCCAGGCACAGCAGTGACATGCTGTCTAGAGTCTGACGTGACTGAATAGCACACAGGACATTCAGACGCAAGCTAAGCATCAGTGCTGAGCATGGACTGCACGTTTTAACTGAGGTTTCTAAAATAGGCTGCGTGTTGGTTTACCAACTGTTATGACAGAGGCTCACGGGACTCTGAGCTGAGAAAGCTGGCGCTCATTGGTGGGTGTTCACATGGGCTGTACAGAGTGCAGGCGTGTGAACAAGGACAACCAGCTGTGTGTTTACAACAGCATCTCTGTGACTCCTGCATCACGAGAAGATGTACATGAAGACCTTGTGGCCAAGTCGGGGCATCATAAAAGACAATGGCTCCGACAGCCCACATCAGAGAAGCCGGGATAACTTGCATCAGACGTAAATGAGCAATCTGGCCTGGGGAGGATAATATTTCCACCCCACAACAGAAGAGCTGCAGCCTGCCGCCTGAGGGGCGACAGAGACGTCAAGCAATGAGTCAGGGACGGTTGCTGCCGCCTTCCCCACTGTTGGTTTCATTGGACAAACCCTCTTAAAAAATATAAACCCAATGCACTTCTGGGTCCTATCTCTTGTAGCAGTCTTACTAAGGGGATCAGGAAGCTCTTTATCTCTCCTTCCTCCCTTCCTTCCTTCCTTCCTTCCTCCCTCCCTTCTTGGGTTTTCGAGACAGGGTTTCTCTGTGTAGCTGAGCTCCCTGGCTGTCCTAGAACTTGCTCAGTAGTCCAGGCTGGCAGATCTACCTGTCTCTGCCTCCTGAGTGCTGGAATTCATGCCTGCCACCACCAGGCAGGATCTGACTTTTAAGAAATGGTGTGACCCATGAACTCTGTGCTAATCATCCCCCACAGGGTCAGACATTCTGTGATGTGGTTATGTCAGGAAGACACAAATGACAAACACACTCTCCTAAAAACCATAAAAACTGGTAAATCATCTTATTTCTGTAAACTGAGCCACTGGCTATAAGTTTATTTGAATAAACCCACTCATGAAGTAAATATGAGAAAAACACAAAATCCACACTCACCCACACGTGGTGGCTGCTGAAAATGTCACGCCCTGGCAATGCACTCATTTAATGCCAGCACTCGGGAGGCAGGAGCAGACGGATCTCTGCAAGTCCAAGGCCAGCTTGGTTTATACTGTGAGTTCTAGGACAGCCAGGGTCCTAGAACAGGGTCTTACAACTACACAGTGAGACCCTGCCTCAAACAACAAACAAACACGTAAGAACCAGTAGAAGATAACTTGGAAACCATCAGCCACCAGTGCTGCTGGCATCCTGAGGACTTGAGCACCGGCCACCAGGGCTGCTGACTCAACACACTGGAGACTGACGCAATGGACAATAGGTTGTTTAACACAGAATAATCATAACTCCTTCCAAATCTTCGGCTCAAAAACTTCAAATGTGTTGCTAAGTGCTTAGACAATTTTTGTAACACCCACCCACACTCTCTTCAAACAAAAGCCTCCAAAGGGCAACCCACACAGTTCCCCGCTTCTGTAACGGCCTGAGAGCTAGGCCAGAGCATTTGGACATGAACTCTGTCCCCGGTGAACAACTCTCAGTGTGTTATAGGGTACTGAGCTGTAAGAATGAGTCCTGGCTATCTAAAAAGTCTAGATGAGGAGAGTGCACTTCTGAGGGTATTTGTGAGGACGTGTCTAGGGATTACTGGACAGGAGAAGGGTGGGACCAGCCTTGAGCGTGGATGGCACCAGGCAATGGGGGCTGGAGGAGGCTCTGGCAGCACAGGCCTGCTCTCTGCTTCCCGGCTGCCTCAAGCTCCCGCCACCAGGATGTTCTGCCTCCAAAGGCACATCAGGAATGAAACCTCTAAGAAGAGATTTCTTCTTAAGAGGTTGTAAATTGTCACAGTACAAAAGGCTGAGGAATGCACTGTCTAAACTCTTCAGCAGCATTCAGTCTTTAATTCCTACCCTAGGACAGTCACAACTGAAGGACAGCTGACGGAGTCCTGTACTTAGCTGCTGTAAAGCAGGATCGTACAGAAATCATGCTCCTGTGGTCGTCCTGCAGGTTTTCCTTCTGACTCATTATGCAGTATTTCAGCTTTGGTAGTACAGGAGTCCAGATGTTTGCTTCAACAGCTTCCGCAGACGCGGGTGATTAATGGTGGACACGCAATCACTGCTTTGGAGCGCAGCCAGCAAGTGTCCCCGTGCTGTGTAACTGCGACGGCACGCCAGGCAGGCCACGCATTAACAGAATGTCTCAGCTGATACTCCCACGTGGCACCTGCTTGGGGTAGGCAGAGGCAGGTCGGGAGTCTGGATGCTGATGGCTTCAGCTCACTCTAAGTTTAATGGACCAGAAGTTTCTCAGACGATGTATAGCAGAAAGAAGCACAGTAAAAACTGCTAGGAAGCCGGGCGTTGTGGCTAGCACTTGGGGGTCAAAAAAGGGAGAAAGTCTGAGTTCAAGGTTAGCTTGGTCTATAGAGTGAGCTCCAGGACATCCAGGGCTACACAGAGAAACCCTGTCTCAAATAATAATAATAATAAAATAATAACAATAATAATAATAAAAAATTAAAAAATAAAACTGCTAGGAAAGAAAATGCTTTTCTTTGCTGCACACAAATGTAAAAACTTACATCTTTTAAAAATTGGTTCTCTTTCTTAAAAAGGTGTGTCTGAGAACACTCTGACAAGTACAGAAGGCTCCCAGGAGCCCCGGGCTTCGTGGTAGCGCTTGTGCAAATAGTGTTTCATAAAAACACTCTAAGCTTCTCTGCCTGCATGATTTCCAGCAGTCTTCTATAAACGTAAGTGGTACAGACTTAGGCGTTCTCATGCACATTAACAACCCACCTCCTTCTATGAAAAACTAAGTATCTACATACATGATACCAAACTTCCTAAAAGACATTTAAAGGTGAACACATGAAAACGAGCGATTATCACAAGAAAGGATGCCTGGGCTGATAAAGAGCCAGAGTCCGTGTCAGAAGAAGAGCACTGCAACGAAGCGAGCCATGGAGTGGAAAACTTCATTGAGAAAGTTTTCAGAGTATTCAAGGATCTGTCAGTCACTCCTTTCGCTGGGACATGGGAAGTCTCCACCGAGAACGTCCCTGGCGCTCTCACTGGACATTTAAATGAAACATAGAAACACGTCTCACAAAGCCCAACTTGCGTGTGCTGCTGTTCACTAAGGTGCCTCACAAACACTTAGGGCACGTATGTCAGGCGAAGGCCGGGAGGACTTCCCCAGAATGCAGAGACCGTTTGAGCTTAAGCTTTCCCATTCCGACCTCTCATCCCCTCTGCCTGAGTTCTGTAGACTGAATCCTTCAGTTTACAGCATCTCCGACCACCACCTGCTTGCCGTCCTTCCTGCCAACAACAAAGGCTCCCACCCCGCGTACTGAACCCCTTGCAGCCTCCAGCATTGGCACGCTCACCCTGGCACTTCACAGTGTTTCCACAGCACTGAACCTTTGCACAAACACCTGTAGGAACTGGAGACATGGCACAGCAGCTCAAGGCGCTGGCTGCTCTTAGGAGAACCCAAGCTGGGTTCCCAGCACCCATGCTCTATGTCTCACAAGCGCATGTAACTGCAGCACAGGAAACTGGCACTCTCTCCTGGCCCCTACCAGCAACGCTGTCTCCCTCTACTGTGTTACAACACCGTCTTCCTATAACTAACACTAAAATACTGAATGCACACTTAGGAAGTCAGTATATCTCTTATCAGGAGCGGCTAACGGTCTAATAACATAAT